GAATTCCAGAGGTTTTCTTGGATTTCAATGGTTGTCGTGAATTGTCGGGAAGTTGAAGAAGAAGACTGGATTTTGACTAGAATTTCAAGATTTAAAAATTTTAACTAGAGCAATTGTCGGTCTTACAGGTTGAATTTTCGCCTGACATTTTAAGAGGTGAACAAAGACGAGAAGAGGTTCAAGATGATGTAAAAAGAGTTTCAATCGGAAGTGCTCGACCGGTGGCATGCGCGATTGTATTTGCCGAAAAAAATGGGTTGCCGAAAAAGGTCACCGGTTCCTTAGAAGGTGGACATCCTCGGGTGCGCGGAGGTGTGAGGTGTCCGTTGGTGTTCTTGGATTTCAGTTGATTTTCGTGAATCGACTATAAATTGAAGAAGACCGGATTTTGACGGGAATTTCTAGATTTAAAAAATTTGACCAGAGCATTTACCGGCGCTATCGGTAGAATTTTTGCTGGAAATTTAAGAGGTGAACGAGGAAGAGAATAGCTTCAAGTTGATGTAAAAATCGATCGGAGGTGGTTGACTGGTGAACGGCGACGGAAGTGGTCAGCTGTCAATTGATTTATTATTATAATTATTATTTATTTATTTATTATATTTTTATTTTGATAATTATCAGGTGTATGCTTCTACTTTTAAAAAAAAAAATTGCAAATTTTGTTTAAGGTGATTATTTATTTATTTATTTTATTCTAATATATGAGTTATGCTGATTTGGCAGTCTTTTGAGACACATGTGTATCCATGTAGGATAAACCACAAAGCCGGCTCTTGGGGAAAGCAGTAGAGGCAGCTGCCTACGGCCTCCATTTTGGGAGGCCTCACATTTTTTTTTTTTTAATTGTAGGTATTTGTTTGGGCTTGGCCTATTTACATAACTATTGAAGCTAATTAAGAGTTTGAGATATTAGAATATTTGTAGTTCCTCTTCTCACCTTCAAGTTTCATTCAAGAGGATAATAAAATACATTAAGGAGCATAATAATTCTTTATTCAAATCACTAACATTTGGAGTGTACTATTTCTAACTTAGCGTATTACATTTAGAAATTTCAAGATTTTGTACTAATTATATTTTAAATATTTATGTTCTTATAATTTATACTTTTATTAGTTATTAGTGTTATTAAACTTATTAATATATTATTCTACGATTAAATTTCTTATATGAGTTATGACGGCAAACGCAAATTCGATTCTAAATGTTTGAAAAGGAAAAGAAAGTAAAATATTCTACATGTTCGAAAAGGAAAAGAAAGTAAAATAAGAGATACTTACAAAGTCTCTCGCCATGTATGGATAAGTACATAAAACTTAGTACTTCTATAGTAGAAGTTGAAATGTTCCATCATATTGAAATTGTGCAAGAAGTACCTTATACATCTCTACTTGAAATTGATCGAGATTTAACATATCAGATTTATTTAGATGATAATGATAGAAAGGTTTATGTTTTTAAGAAGAAAATAATAAGCTAGAAAATGCATATGATATCGAGAATATGAATGATAACCTAGATATTAGTTGTGAGAATTCGGATGACTTGTTCGATTCTAGATATTGGGAGGATAATATGCCCCACAAACTTATTTTTTTTTTTAGTCGATAAATGGTGATTAGAGTTACAAATGCCGTGTATCATATTAACGATAAAGGTAAAAGTTGCAATGATAAACTCTACAAACGATCTTTGCTGAATGTGGAAAACCAAATAAGTTTGAAACTTGATTATAGTGACTTGATCGAAAATTTTTGCACAAAAGAGCACGAGAAGGTTGTAATTTTTTGTTATTGTAGTTTACTTTTGTTTCTCATATTCATTGTACTTTTGTACTTATTATTGAATATGTTTAATATTATTTGTTCAATTAAAAAAATTAAAATATAGAAATACAATTACGGACCACTTTTAAAAATTTGTCGAAATTTGTCTGGGGCCTCCAAACTTCTGGAGACGGCCCTAATAAACCATGGTGAGTCAGCACCTATTGGTGAAATTCAATAACTTGTAGATAAATTGAACACGGTTATGGGTTTTAACAAGTTATTATCCTGTTTTGCCAAACGAAAAAGAAGTTTTGTTGATTTGGCGATCTTTTGTGATACATGTGCATCCAGTCTCATGTCGATCTCCCTCTAACACAAGCGTCGATCTGCCAACTAGCACCATGTGTCGATCTCTCTGACCCGTGTGAACTAAACAGGAAAAGCTATTGTCTTACCGGCCCATCATCAAAAGCTAAAATATGGGTCTCATCATCAAAAGTAGAATTTTTTCATGGATCCACCCGTCACACATTCACACTCTTATGGCATGATTGGTATGATGGAATGGAATTTCGTAGAAATGGAATGAATTGAAGAATGGAATGATTATGGGAATGGAATGAAACATGTCATTCATGCGTTTGGTATGCAGAAGGAATAGGACTACAATGGAATGACATTATCATTTTTTATTATAAAAATAAATAAAAGCTTTTTTTAAAAAATAGTATACTTTTAATAAATTATATATAAATGCTTTTTTAATAATATATAAAAATAAAATAATATATTTTGAATAATATATAAAAATAGAATAATATATTGTTTAATAATATAAAAATAATATATTTTTAATAATATATAAAAATAAATAATATATTTTTTAATTTTATATAAAAAATAAAATATTCTTAAAAGTAATATATTTTTGATATATAAAAAATAATATATTTTTAATAATATTTAAAAATAAAAAGTAATATATATTTAATAATATATATTTTATTTTTTAATTAAACAGTAAATAAAAGTAAGTTTTCAATTTTTTATGTGAATTTTATTTTTTAAAGTAATATATTTTTAATAATATATATTTTTAATATTTTTCAATAATATATTTTTAAAAGTAATATATTTTTAATATATAAAAAATAATATATTTTTAATAATATATAAAAATAAAATAATATATTTTTAAATTATATATAAATGCTTTTTTTAGTTTTATTTTTATATAAGTATTTAATATATCTAATTAAAAAATAAATAAAAGTAAGTTTTCAATTTTTTTATTTGAATTTTTGTTTAAAATAATTTTATTTAATATATTTTAATCATGATTTATAATATATATTATATATTTATTTTTTATTATTATTTGTTAATTTTATTTTTTGAAAAATTGATTCCTACACACATGGGAATGAGAAAACACTCCATTTATTATGGAATGGCTAATCCCATGGAGATGGGGGTTTTGCCATTCCCATTGGAATGGTCATTCCTTCCCAAAAAATATACCAATCATGGGATAAGGAATGAGTAAAAGAATGATCATTTCATTCCTATGTCATTCCATCATACCAATCATGTCATTAGTTGACATATATATATCAATAATTGTCTTTTTACTTTATTCATTATTATTCATGTATAAACTTAACATATGCTTCAGAAATGATAGTATGATACGAATAAAATACTGAGAAAAACTACCTACTCAATTATATTCAAACACTTATGTTTTTCCCTCTCAAATTCCTATTGTGTCAATTTTCGTTTTGCTATGGCGATCTGCTTAACACGCATATTGCCATTTCCGCACATAATCCCTACATATATTTACTTAATTAATCTTATAATAATCCGTTATCAACAACCATTAAAAACTATATTATTTTTTATTCTAAAAAAAAAATACATGTAATTGCGCAAGTCTATGAATTGAGAATATCAACATGGTGCAAAATAAAAGCTGTCACACAAATACTATAAATAAAACAAATCATAAACACCAAAACTATTGTAAGTTTTGCTAATTTAAAAATATAAATATTTTTTATTTAGATGAATTGTTCAATCTATAATTATTGTATAAAATGAAGTTTTAATCAAACATAACTCAGTAGTGTGACCTAATTTATAATATTGTATATGTGGGTGCGAAAAGTTGTAGTTGATGTGAAAGATAATATTTCGATAATATTTTTTTAGATTGGATAATAAATTTTTGAGTAAGAGATAAATTACTATTTAATATGACAATTATTACAAAATGAATTTGAGATGGACTAAATTCTGAAGATTAATAAAATATACTATTAATTGATCTTTATATTTCTAAACGATAAAACACTGCTAATATTTTTTACGATCACCTTTTACCATCGTTCTGTTATTTATTTTCCAATTTTTTCCAAATAAAAAATTGTTCCCACATAACTGGTAGAAAAGTGGGTCCCAGCCGAAATTAATTTGGAGCAGAGGTAATTTGAAAATGGTGATTCGTAGTAGTTGGAAAGTAGAAAAAAATTTCCAATGTAATAAACGATCTCGTTATTTTCCCGTAAATTTGAACATCTATTTGCTACCACCAAATATAGAACACAGCTTATCGTACCATATAAATTTAGATGTTGACAAGATAATGTGTAAGTATTTTGAGCATGAGTTTAAAGGTGATGTAATTTATAAATTCATGTCACGTATGCATCATATAAAAACTTATATCAACTATTATGTTTATATAAAGTAATTCATTAAGTTTTTATCTGGCCAAAGACTTTATATGAGTCGTCAGTGTATAATTTTTTTGAAAGTATAAGTCTGCCTAACAGTTAATCGAGGAGTCATATAGCCAAAATTTGTACTTATGACTTTAAATTTTAAATTATTTTGTATTTTCTAAAATGATATTTTAGTTCACATATGAATGAGTTTATAATCATTACACTTGGCTAAGAGTTACCTTATTAATTGATTTTTACCCTTACGGCCGTACTATAGTTTCTATTATACAAAACAGGACAATATTGAAAATGAAACATTAATTCAATCTGTGATTTTTGTCCCATATTTTTTCTTTGAGGAGCAATTTTCACAAATTCACACTAGCGTTCATAATCAAACAATTTTTTCTAGATAAAACTTAAATAATTATATACAAAGAAATAAAATACTGCAGGG